TTATTATGCAATATAATTTAAACAGACATTGACACGGTTTGATACTTAGCAAGAACTATATTAAATTTATAGACCTTTATATTGATGTATATATAGTTTAACGCAGGGGTCTCAAACTCAAATTAGTCGGGGGCCGCAAGAGGTAGAGTCTGAGTGAAACTGGGCCGCATTAAGTAATCCACACAATAGGTGATTAAAAATTCAAGTACAGCTGTTACAACCTGCTCAAACTTTATTAATAACAAATAAAACATTATGGGTTCTCAAGAACTAGGCTTCACTTTCTTTCTTCTTCTACTTCTTGCCAGAGACCTTGCAGCGCTTCTTCTTACACAGCTGAGCAACTTTGGCTTGAGTGAGGAAGCAACTGAGACCCTCAGTATACCTTGTAGATGCTGATCAGTAAGTTTTGCCCTGAACTTTGACCTTTTAAAGTTTATAGTGGAAAAGAGCTTTTCACACAGATAGGTACTCCCAAAAAGGCACTTGATCTGCTTGAACAACCTGGATATGTAAGGGAAGGTTCAGGGCAATTCTCTCATAAATTGTCCAAGCGTGTCTGTTTTTCTATTCACCTCCCTGAACTTAGCCTTGAGTTCAGAATTGCATTGAAGTTCAATCAGCTCCATTTGAAGCGCAGGGAAAAAAAATAGGGTGGGGGGGTGGGGCATATTCCACATTAAAGGAGAAAGGTTCAGCAAAAATGTGAAAAATGACTCTGTGTGTTTTGAAGTCTGTAAACCTGTGATCAAATTCTTCCTGTTGCTTTTCAATGGCATCAGCATACTTAATACTTTATGGTGTGCCCGAGTCCATGATTACTTGGCATGTTGGAAAATGGAAGAGCGACTGAGTATGCATGGAAACGTTTACCTTTCTCGCAAGTTGATCGTAAAAGTCACCTGACAACTCAGACTAAACTTGCAGCTTGTAAAATGCAATTTTTGATGAACTCGCCTTCTTTGAATGACTTTGCTGCCTTAGCAATCATCTCACTCACCAAGTAACTAGTAGAGACCGACCGAAAGTGATTTTTTGACTTCGACCGAAGCCGAATATAGACCGAAAGTTTAAAATGACTTTCGGCCGAAACCGAAAATATGCCGAAAGTTTTAAAATGACTTTCGGCCGAAACCGAAAAAAAGGCCGAAAGTGAAAAATGACTTTCGGCCGAAACCGAAGCTGAAACCGAAAATGAAATATTTAGATATTTTGAAATTTGTTCCCGCATACATTCTGCATACATCGAAAATGATGGGGGAAAGTATTAATATTTACATTCTTTTCATAAAAAATGAGATAATCGTGAATATTAATTTAAAAAAAGCATCTGATATAGGGGTCTCAAACTCGCGTTACAAACATTTTATTGCATTGCCCTCCACTTCCCTGAAATTTTTAGGTTGTTCAAGCGGATCATACGACTTTTTGTGTCGTGACCTATCTTTGTGAATAGCTCTTTTCCACTATGCACTTTAACAAGTCAAAGTTCAACAGTGAGTAGGTGGAAGAAAGTGAATCCTAGTTCTTGAGAACATTTAATGTTTTTATTTTTATTTATAAAGGTTGAGCAGATTGTAACAGTTGTAATCGCTCTTTTGTGGAATACTTGATGCGGCACAGTCTCACTCAGACACTACCTCGTGCGGCCCCCCTTATGATTTGAGTTTGAGACCCTTGACCTAATGAATACTTTGGATTTTACCATTTTAATATTAAAGCAATTTAAATTGCTTTACAATTGTTTAAAATTAGTTTGGTAGGAAAAAATTTGGCAAAAATTAGGGGGCTGGGGGGGGTGGGGATTAATTCAAAATAGACTCTTGAGTGCCTTTGCTTTTATAATATAATTAAAACCCAGAACATATAACCACAACAATTATTGTGGCTCTAATAGAGCCAGTTGCCACCTAAATATATATTATTGAGGCTATAAAAATATCACCACAATGTTTCGCTGTTTTCGTAATACTATTGCTTTGTGTTTTCATTAGTAGCTTGCAAGATATCAATGTATTAATATTCAACCTAGTAACAACACACTAGTCTTTCCGTGCTGGAGACATAATTATTTCGTTAAAGTTCATTTTGTTTGTTCTTAAAGATCGCTTAGTTTGTTCTTAAAGACCATTGATTTAGTTCTTAAATATAGTTTAGTTGTTCTTAAAGATCATTCAGTTTGTTCTTAAAGATCTTTTAGTTTGTTTTTATAAATCTTTCAGTTTGTTAATAAAAATCGTTTAGTTTGTTCTTAAAGATCGCTTCATTTCTTATTGAAGATCGCTTAGTTTTTACGTAAAGATCGCTTAGTTTGTTCTTAAAGATAGTTTATTTTGTTCCTTCAGATCGATTCGTTTGTTCTTAAAGATCTTTTAGTTTGTTCCTAAAGAAAATTTAGTTTTCTGTTAAAGATCGCTTAGTTTATTCTTATAAATCATTTAGTTTACTATTAAAGATCATTTGTTTTGTTCTTAAAGATCATTTCGTTCGGTCTTAAAAATCGTTTAGTTTGTTCTTAAAGATCGCTTAGATTGTTCTTAAAGATCGCTTAGTTTGTTTTAAAGATCGTTTAGTTTGTTCTTAAATGTCGGTTAGTTTGTTGTTAAATATCGTTAAGTTTGTTCTCAAATATCGCTTAATTTGTTCTTAAATGTCACTTAGTTTGTTGTTAAATATCGCTTTCGCTGAGTATTAGATGACCAAAAACATGAGTCACTTTCGGCAGGATGGCTGAAAGTCTAAGTCAATTTCGGCCGAAACCGAAGAAAAACCGAAAGTTAACATTTCTCTTTCGGCCGAAACCGAAATTAAGCCGAAAGTTAACTTTTCAGTTTCGGCCGAAACCGAAACTTTGTCGAAAGTGATAAAATGGCCACTTTCGGCGCCGAAACCGAAGCCGAAGCCGTAATTCGGTCGGTCTCTAGTAACTAGCTTCAACTGCTGCACCACTTTCTTTGTTTTCTTTATAAAATCATGCTGCCTCAGTAGACACGTTTCAAGTTTAGCACCCCGGGCCTCTAGCTCATCCCCCCAGATATTTTGCATACTCCTCGGCATGTCTGGTTGAATAATGACGTCTGATGTTGCACTCTTTGTGCACCACAACTTTCAGGGTGCATATTAGGAACGTCGGAATGCCCCTGTGCTCAACAAAGCAATAGTTCGTCTCCCACTTCTCCTGAAATTGTCTGCGCTCATCGCCAATCTTTCTCTTCACAGCAGGTTTTGAGAAAGAGATAACTGGGATCGGGTGACGCAAATATTTATTTGCACTCTTTGATAAAATATATTTTCCCTCCACTCGGTAACACTCCCAAATCATATTTAACGAGACAAAAGCTGACAAGCTCGGAACTTTCTTCACTGTTACACACTGGTGGCAATTTTAATAGGAATTGTTTGATACTGTGTTAGATTACTACGAATTACACAGTTATGGTTGTGTATTACCCACTGACTTTTTAAACTTGTTATATATGTATATGCAATATTCGAAGGGTGTTTTCTCAAAACCGCACTTTAGCCATGTTTGTCTCATAAAATGCTTTCAAATTAAACCTTTTAGTCCAATTTTAAAATGGTTTTTACCATTATAATCAACGTCAAAACCTATAGGTATTTTTTATAAACATCATAAAAATCAGAATTATACTAGTCGAGTTTTGACTGAAATCGTCGTGGAGGGTCACATTATAGATAATATGAGAATGAGGACAACGCGCGGGCCGCAAATGTCACGTGGGCCGCAAGTTTGAGACCCCTGGTTTAACGCATGCTATTCTAAGTCATCGAACTTATGAGGTTAAAAACAAATGAACCAATCTGTGCGAACAACGGGTAGTGAGACGTCGGTTTCATCATGAGAAGCGGCCCATTTTCAAAACAATACGATTTTTTATAATCGAATATGTTGCCCCTGCAACATCATTGGCTTTAAATATACGGATCATCAAATAAATCGAGCGTAGCAATATTTCATTGGTACCTCTAATTGTAATCCGTGTCCGGCAAAGGCTGCTATTCTTTTTTTTATGTTATAAATAGGACAATTTTGTCGATATAAAAAAAAAAAAAAAAAAAAAAAAAAAATTTCGTTTTTAGTTTTTACACATTTTTCCTTCCCGGGTGGTGGGTGGCAGGGCGCCCACCACCACCACCCCCCGGAGAGGTTGGATAAAAGCAACATTGCACACAAGGTACTCGACAATCTGGTGTAATTGTAATCAAAGTCAACAAGCTGGTGCGCCGGTGGTTGGAAGGGATCTTTCTCCAACCTGTTCGCATTTGTCCGATGTTAGCTACCACTTAACTCAATGCTCCGCCAGGATAGCGCTCCTCTTACCTGTCTAGGAAGACGCTCCTCTTAACTGTCTAGGAAGACGCTCCTCTTACCTGTCTAGAAATACGTACATAAATAGTTACGCCAGTGATGCCATTTGTAACGCTCGTCTAGTCACCAGATATTTTCTCCTTTTTTTTCACTTTCTTTCTTTCTCTCTCACTCTCTCTCTCTTTGTCTCTCCTCTCTCTCTTTCTCTCCCTGCCCCTCTCCCATCTCTCTCTGTCTCTCCCCCTCCTCTCTCTCTTTCTCTCTCTCTTTCTCATTTATATTTCGTATAACATATTCAAATAAGACGCCATTTTTTTTAATCCTCAGCTGTAGTTTAAGCATCGTCCACGTCTCTAATCAAGGGGGATCACTGGTATTCGTCTAAACGATGACAAGATGGATCACTCTTGCATGGAATTTTCCAGGAATTTGACGTGAGGCCAGGAACAATAAAGGATCGAAGTGTGGCGTACATAAGTGAAATAACAGCCATGCCGCTGATAAAAACCCGATTGGAGAATGCTCCTTAAGAATGTGTGAGTTCAGGCAACGGGAAAGCAAGTAGCAGGAGCAGACGGACTGTTTGCACAGGAGCAAAAGTAAACGCAGAGAGAGGGGGGAAAAAAACGATTCACCTTATTTTATTTTTGTATTGTTGGTTTTTTTTTTTAGAAAGCGTAAAATACAATTTATTAATCTATTATTTCTGTGGACGTTGTGTTCTTGAGCATAAAGTACAAGCACCATCACAAAGAGCACTTTGATACTAATCAGTATTGAACACCGCTGTCAGACATCTTCATGGTGGTGTTTGATATGTGTAAATTTACAGGAAGATAGAAGACTGCAGAGAACAGGAGAATATGTGCAGGACACGTATCATATGGACAGCGTTTGTCTTAACATGCCAGCTGTGCCTTGTCAGTGAGTATTTTATTTGAACAGAATTCTTTCATTTTTCCACTCTAGAATTTTAATAAGTATTCTGTTATGGGGAAAAAAAACACTTTTTTTTTCTTTAATATTACACTAAAAGATGTGAGTAATTTTTTTGCACTTGAGATTTTAAACGAACAGCCCCATACACAGACACTTCCATACACAGACACAGACACACCCATACACAAACACTTCCATACACAGACACAGACACACCCAGACACAGACAAACCCAGACACAGATGCACAGATACACATACACTTCCATACACAAACACAGACCCACCCAGACACAGACAAACCCAGACACAGATGCACCCATACACAGACACACCCAGACACAGACAAACCCAAACACAGATGCACCCACAGACACTTCCATACACAGACACAGACACACCCAGACACAGATGCACCCACACACAGACACTTCCATACACAGACACAGACACACCCAGACACAGACACACCCAGACACAGATGCACCCAGACACACAAACATACAGCTGCTCCTAAATGGTCATTTAAAAAAATATATATTCCTTTACCTGCCTCCAAGTCATACTAGCTACTTTAACTCTGGCATCACTTTGTTTTGTTGTAGAACGATGGCCTCTAAAAGATGCGCTATCACATTTACTGCGATGCACACATCACCACATTCAAATTAAAACTTAGAGGTTGTTTTTTTTTTAAAATCACTTCCTTTACCTTCTATTTTGTTTTAATCTCTTCATTTGCTATCTCTTCCCTTCACCAAAATCGTCCCTGCAGCAGACGGAGTCATCATACGACCGTTCCGGGTCAATCAGAGCCTGACGGAGACCACCAAACCCCAGCCGCCGGATCCCATCGACAACGCCGTCTACCCGATCTTCTCGGCGTCGACCAGCCGCTTCCAGCCCACGGGCAAGCGTTGCTGTGACATCGGGCAGCGCGTCGCCAAGAAGAAAATGGCGTGCGACATAGCGCTGCTGGCCGTCATACGCAAATTCCAGCGGCAGAAGTACAGCGTCCAGCTCTCGAACCGAACCCTGAACAGCAACCAGACGGTCCACAAGAGCAAGCTGTCGGAGAAAATTTCAAAGTGCTCCGCCGCTTTCCCCAGGGAGTTTGTCAAGTGCTGCAGGGGACAAGAAGAGTTTTTCAAGCAGAGGAAGAAATGTTTGCTGAAACCGAAGCCCCTCCGCCAGAGGTGCAAGCAACTCATTAAGAAGACTCGATACTCTTGATGCGGGGTTGCGGGTTCGTTTAAAAAAAAAAAAGAAAGGAAGGAAAAATACATCTTTTTTTTTTTTTTTGAATCGGGCGTGCAAGTCTGCGAAAAGATCGATACTGAAGATACTCAAACAGATGAACACACACACAACTGTCGAGGGTTTGAAACTCTACTCTGAACGTTTCTCATTGAGCCCTGTTGGTTTTAGTTGTTGTTTATATATATATACATATATATATATATATATATATATATATATATATATATATATATATATATATATATATATATATATATATATATATATATATATATATATATATATATATATATATCTTGTCCAGAAACATTCAGATCAAGTCATGATATTTTAGTTTATAAAACACCTTAAATTATACCATTCGGAGCATTTCACCATTTCCTTTACTTTGGTATGGTAAATGGGATGGACACATTAGATTTTGTGTTGAATGCACTGTAGAAAATAAATTAGATGAAATGCTTGGAAAAAATGTAAAATAATTGTAAAATTAACAAACTACTTGCTAAGTCTTCCTCCTGAAGGTTTCAAAATCTCTATCGAACAAATTCTTTTAAATCTGAAAGGAATATTTCACTTCTAAATTCGGCCAACGTTTGGAAATATATAGAAAAATCCTTCCATGAGATTGACATGTCAAACCTTCTTGAATCAGTTGTGGAAGCAACAACAACAGGATAATGGTCAAATACAGCCAGAACAAAATAAGCATTTTTTTTTAAAAAACCGACACAAAAGACTCTAAACACCCCAGTTTGGGAAACTCTGCTATATCCAATACAACGAGTTTAGGTTATTGTTAAAGGTTGTGTTAAGTGACTAAATATTTGACCTCAAACATTGCAGTCGTCCAAGTTGGAGACCACCGCGATAGATGTCATACACTTTTGAAGAAATTATACTTGTCTACACTGTAAGATGTGTGACGTAAGATGTCTGATGTAAGATGTGTGATGTAAGATGTCTGATGTGTTCATGTTATCCTCTCAACATTGTCAATTTTGTTTTTAACGCATTGCGTTTGAACTGCGGGTACTTTTTTTTTGTTTAATTATTTTTTTTGTCATTTAGATCTGATCAAAGTGCGGGTAACACTACAAGTAGGTAGATATGTAAGATGAACATATTCTTTGAACCATAATGATATGTATTGACATGGTGCCGCCTATAGCTGCTGACGGGGACGAAGAGGGGACCCAACGCTTAGTGTTCAGAGTCAATCGTCGTTGTTTTTTTTTTCCATTCTTTTTTTTTTTTAAATTCTTTTTCTAGCTTTCCTTCTGCCCCTATCCAACTCTCTCACGCTCAATCCATGCTACCTTCTTCTGTCACACTTTTTTCTTACTCTCTGTCTCTCTCTCTCTCTTCCTGCCTTCATCTGTCTGTCTCTCTCTGTCTACAACTGTATCCTTTTCTGACTCTCTCTGACTATATATGTCTTTCTCTCTCTCCGCCTCCATCTGTCTGTCTCCATCTCTCTCTCTCTCTCTCTCTCTCTCTGCCTGTCTCCCTCTCTCGCTCTCTGCTTGTCTCTCTTCCATATATATCTTTTCTCTCTCTCCATTTTCTATTTCTCTCTCTGTGTTTCTCTCTCTTATTCTCCCCCATTCCCCCACCCCTTCTCTTTCTCCCTATCTATCTATCTATCTATCTATCTATCTATCTATCTATCTATCTATCTATCTATCTATCTATCTATCTTAGATAGATAGATAGATAGATAGATAGATAGATAGATAGATAGATAGATTCTATCTATCTATCTATCTATCTATCTATCTATCTATCTATCTATCTATCTATCTATCTATCTATCTATCTATCTATCTCTCCTTATTCCTTACGTCTCAGTAAACATTATCTCTTTACATCCCTGAAACATCTGCTGAACCCAGCTAGGTGGTGCCTTGTTCTAATGATAAGTGAATGCTTTATGGAGGCGAATGGAGTGTGAGAGAACATCGTATCATTTCTTCTAGGTCCAGGTTCAAACATTGACTAGATGACACTAACAGTAGCCTGGTCTGTTTTGGACATGGCCGTTTTCTAGAACACTTGCTGACATTTGTTTCAATGAAGTTCGCCCTCAATCTTGAATGCTGGTCTGCTGAGTCGAAGTCAACATTTTTTAATGAGACTTTGTTGTTTTTACTCCAACCATGACAAATATTTGACCGAAAATCCCTAAAGGCAAAGACCCCGAATATCCCTGAACACAAAATCCCCGAATATCCCTGAACACAAAATCCCCGAATATCCCTGAACACAAAATCCCCGAACATCCCTGAACACAAAAAGTCCCCAACATCCCTGAACACAAAGTCCCCGAACATCCCTGAACACAAAAGTCCGCAACATCCCTGAACACAAAGTCCCCCAACATCCCTGAACACAAAAGTCCCCAACATCCCTGAACACAAAGTCCCCCAACATCCCAGAACACAAAGTCCCCGAACATCCCTGAACACAAAGCCCACCAACATCCCTCAACACAAAA